TAAACCCTACCCCCTTGGTACCTACTATATAGGGCCCTCCTAAACCCTAAACCCTCCTGTTGCAGGGTGGCCCACCCTGGAGCTCGTTTTTGTGGTCGTCCTCATCCTGGAGCCTCTGGCTGCCCTTCACAAGGGGGTTTAGGGTTTAGGGTTTAGGGTTTCGGCCTTAAGATTGCCTTGAACTTCCTTGAACTACCAAAACCTGCTTTTCCCATGAAGTCTATATTTCCTGGACCCCTCAAGCATGTAGAAGAATAGCCTCTTACAGGTGTTGGGTCTCAACTCTTCTACGTACTTTTGGGGGTTTAGGTAGGGTTTACAAGAAGATCCTACAAATATCTGAACGCTCATCCCCCGCCTCAGGAATGTGTGCTGCGGATGTTTGTTCTAGGCTGCCGGCGGCTGCTTGGCGACCTCTGCTGGCGTAGGGATTTAGGAGCGTCAGGTTTTAATGATTTGAAGTTTGGGGGCTCTATAGAGCCGTTACCCCAAACCCCCAGGTACCTACTATATAGGGTACTAGAGCCCCTAGGGCCCTATATAGTGGGTACCTGAGGAGGTTAGTTGTGGTTCGATACCGTTGTTGGTATCTTTGCGGGAATATTGAGGTTTGAGACGCTTGCTATTTATGAGGTATTCAGAAAAGAAGTTACTGCGCAGGTCCAGAAGATAATTGCCCCATATTCCGCCCTAAACCCTAAAGCCTAGGGTGTTACGATGTACGTACCAGGGCATATGCAATATACCACCAAATCCTACAGTAGACACCTGGACAAATCAACACGACACCTGATACATCGACCTTAGCATGTTTCAATCAGTACGGCCCGTCTGTTAGGTGAATCCTGTTCTGCACCCTAAACCCTAAACCCCTAAACCCCTAAACCCCAAACCCTAAACCCCTAAACCCTAAACCCCTGAACCCTAAGCCACCCCTAAACCCCTGAACCCCTGAACCCCAAACCCCTAAACCCCCACCCCTAAACCCCAAACCCCTAAACCCAAAACCCCTGAACCCCAAACCCTAAACCCTAAACCCCTTAAACCCCTAAACCCCTAAGCTCCTAAACTCCTAAACCCTCAACCCCTAACCCCTAAACCCCTAAACCCTGAACCTCTAAACCCTAAACCCCTAGACACCTAAACCCTACACCCTAAACCCCAAACCCCTAAACCCTAAACCCCTGAACCCTAAACCCTAAACCCTAAACCCTAAACCCCTGCCCCTAAACCCTTAAACCCCGGAACCCTAAACCCCTAAACACCTAAACCCTAAACCCCTAAACACCTAAACCCTAAACCCTGCTGGATCCCCAGGTTCTTTTGTGGCTCGGACCGCCTCTTCAACTGGCTTCCCGCATGCAGTCCTACGCTTGATGGACAAAATCCTGCACGACTTAGGGTTTAGGGTTTAGGGTTTAGGGTTTAGGGTTTAGGGTGGTATGTACCTAAACTATGGGATTTATGGTACTATACTATATTTGGGTCATGCAGGATTTTGTCCATCAACAGTAGGTCCTAGGGTTCCCCCAGAAGGTTTTCTTCGGGGTGTAGTACTTTGAGTTTAAAGGGGTTCAGGGTCTATATAGTATTTAGGGCTCAGGGGGTTTAGGGTTTAGTGTTTGGGTCTAAGAGTTTTCAGTGTTTAGTGTTTAGGGTTTAAGGGTATTTGGGGCTTAGTATTTACGGTTTAAGGGGGTGTAGGGTGTAGCCTTTAGGGTTTAAGGGGGGTTTAGGGTTTAGTATTTAGGGTTTAGGGCTTTGTGGTTCCCGTTAAGGCCGTTAAGGTTCCTTTAAGTTAAGGTTCCAGGGCGAAGTTTTAGGGCATGGGCCTGAGCATGTCAGGGACTTCTCAGGACTTATCGTGCTTGGGGTCCTAAATCCCTAAACCCTAAACCCTATGGGGCCCAGACCCTAAACCGTAAATCCAAAGCCCCTAAGCTCTAAACCTTAAACCCAAAACCCCTAAACTCTAAACCCCTAGACGTTCAACCGTTAGCCTAGCAACCTTTTTGGGGACCCTAAGCTGTAGGGGTTTCGAGTTTAGACCTGCAGCAGTGGATTCGGCTGTTAAGTAGGGGTTAGGCTTTAACTACAGATAGTACCCTGGGCCCGACTGGGGTTTACTAAGCAGGTGTTTAGGGTTTAGCATTTACCGTACCTATTATGAAGCAGCTACATGCAGAGCTCATGAATAAGCGAACCCGCCTTGGCTCCCGACACGCGCACGCACACATGCACACACACACACACACATAACGACCAGGTAGACTCGCACCCACATTCAGGACGAGGGCATGCGCGCACAAAGACAGACAGACAGAAGGACAGACCGACAGACAGACTGACAGACAGACTGACAGACTGACAGACGGAGACGGACAGACAGAGACAAACAGACAACACGTACGTATGTATATATGTATGAAAACACACATAATGAGGTACATATGAGTATGTGCATGTACATATACACGCATAGACGCACACGCATGTATATATATATATATATACATTCGTACGTTCATACATACATACATGCATACATACATGCATGCATACATCCATCTATACATACATACATACAGACCTACATACATACATACATACATACATACATACATGCATACATGCATAACTACATGCATGCATGCATGCATGCATGCATACAGAAATACATCTGTACATACCTATACAAACATACATGCATCATACATTCATATATAATTACTTGCATACATGCATACATGCATCCATATATACATCGTGTACACACTACACACACGCAGCTGCCTTTCCCGGTTCCCATGTCAAAGAGAAAGCCAGTCAGGGTCTTGCAGAGATGCATTCGCATGGTTTGGCCTTCTTCGTCTCTAAACCTTAAGACCGAATCCCGAAGCCGTAGTTTAGGACATACAGAACACTGCACCAGACATGAGTCGTGGCGATGTAATGCGCAGAAATCATGAACCGACCTCTTTCCGAAACTTGGCTCATTGGGGTATTGCCGAAGCCTCAGATTCGTGAAGGTTTGATCTGTTCCTGTCCCTGTCGGGTGTGGCGGACGTCTTTGTCCAGAAAGTGCTGGGAGAACAGTCCGACATGCTAGGCAACTTGGCTAAGCTCAAAGAATCTTCTGGTTTGGGGTTTGGGTCTAGGGTTTAGGGTTTTGGGTTTCGGGTTCAGATCTCCTAAGGGCCCTAAGCCTTAGAGAACCTTTGCAAAAGCTTGAAATAAACCTTTATAATTAGGAACCCCAGACCGGAGCTTTTCGATAGCCCGGAACGTGATGGAGGTTTCAGGGTTTAGGGCTTTGGGTTTAGGTTTCAGGATTTAGGGTGTGGGGCTTTGGATTTCCATTCATGTCGCGCTGCGCTGCCTAGACTTTCAAGCTCGTCAGCCCCGAAATTTGCCCCAATCCCCGAACCCCAGAACTGCCTCTAAACCGCAAGCCCTAAACCCCAAGCCCCGAACCCCAGAACTGCCTCTAAACCCTAAACCCTAAGCCCTAAACCCCAAGCCCTCCCAACCCCAGAACTGCCTCTATGCTCTGCATCCTCTGTGGCGGGCCTTTTCAGCCAATGAATCTGAAGTCCTCGGTCGCGAGAGTCATATACATGCACTTCTCCTGCTGTGAACCCGAATCTAAAGCCCCAAACGCGATACCCTATACTAAACCCGAAAACCAAAAACTCAGCCCTGTCCTGAATCTGAAAACCATTGTGTATAAAGACTCACAGCAAAGAGAGCCATCACGATCTCCGTTGTAGCGACATCTTCACCTCGAAGTGAAGTTTCGAGTGAATACTCTGAACGTCCCACAGCACCTCCAGTGATGCTAGAGCTCAGGCAATTGGGTTTTAGGGGGGTGGCCTAGACCCTAGGTACATCCAAAACCCTGACAAGTTCGGCCTTGAAGTTTCCAGATTCGTTTCCCTAAGGGTCCATGTGCCCAAATAGTATGTACTTTGGCCTTAATGTAGTCCCTATAGGTACTTTAGGGCCAATGTTCTACTATTTGGGTACATGGATCCTTAGGGTTTGTTCTTTTGAAGGGTTCCCCCTGATAAGCGACCAAAGCGCACAGGCCCCGGTGGATGTTCCGGGCCTGAGGCCTCAAGACCCCTCCCCCAAGTCCGACAACTCCAACCTCCCCCCTCCCCCGCAAAGGTTTAGGGTTTAGGGGTTAGGGTTTAGGGCTACACCAGGAATCCTAAACCCTAATAGCCTCACAACGCCATGAATTAGCGCCCTGCTAGCATTGCCTTCTATAGCTCTGGAAAGCAGAACTCTTCGAGAAACCCTTGCGTACAACCTTTCAGGACCTCGCGACCTGTACAAACGCACTCGAAAGGCCCTGAAGGCATAACCCTGCAAGACTTGCTTTCTTTTTTCTACGCTTTGCAATGCCATTTAACAACCTCTTAAAGAAACCCCATATGCCCTCAACCCTAAACCCTAAACCCCTAATTAAACCCTAAACTAAACCCCTAAACCCTAAACCCCTAAACCCCTAAGCCCCTAAGCCCTAAACCCCTAAACCCTATAAGCCCTAGGAGAGACCCCATATTATCCTGAGCTTTTAGAGCCCTGTTTTTCAAGAACTTCCGAGATAACCCGGTAAGTCCTCAACTTCATAAACCCAAGTTTCAAAAGTAAGTCTGGTAGGCCCTAAAACCCTATGAGCCCTAAGCCCTCAAGCCCACTAAACCCCATAAGCTCCCAACGGCAAACCCCTGTAGTCCCTATGATATGTGAACCCTTTAAAATAGGCCGCCAAACCCCGTGAACCCCCATAAACCCTCAACTCGAAGCATCCCTCAAACCCTAATCTCAGACGCGAGAAGGCCCTATAAGTTCTCAGAGCCCCGAAACCCTTCTAGATCCCCTACAGACCCTTTTTGACGGAACCCCATAAACCCTATAACGTACCCCATAAACCCTATAAGTTAAGCCCCCACTCTAAACGCCAATCGCTAAACCCTAAACCCAAACCGAAGGTATGTCCTTGCTGCGCTTCTGTCGGCTTATTCGGCTGGTCCGGGTGGTGAAAGTCTTCCGCCTCCGCTGCATGAAGGAGAAACCTTCAAAGGTTCCTTTATAGGAATTTAGGAACTCAGGGTTTCGGGGATGGGTTTAGGGTTTAGGGTTTAGGGTTTAGGGTTTAGGGTTTAGGGTTTAGGAGGCTTGAAGGCCCTTAAAAGGGTTTTGTTAGGATTTAGGAGTCTAGGGAGTTCCGGGGTTCCTTTGCCCTAGGGGTCCAAGTACCCAAATAGTAGGGTTTCAAGGTCCCAAACCATTCAGGTTTAGGGTTTAGGGTTTAGGGTTTAGGGTTTAGGGTTTAGGGCAGAGTATGGATTCTGGGGCCTAAAACCTTACTATTTGGGTACTCGGACCCTCTGGGTTAGCTTTTAGGAATGTAGGAGCTCAGGATTTAGGGGAGAGCCTTGCTTGGAAGATCATGGGACTTAGTAAGTAAGGTTATAAGTCTCTTAATTGGGGGTTATAAGCAACTATAAGTGCAGTTACCTTAATTATGAGCCTACTCACTAAGCCCCACGATCCTTTAAGTGAAGGCCCTTAAACGGGGTTTTGTTAAGGTTTAGGAGTTTAGGGAGTTCTGGGGTTCAGGGTTTAGGGTT